AAGGAAGGAAAAGAAAGGAAGAAAGAGAGAGAAAGAAAGAAGAAAAGAAGGAGGGAGGGAGAGAGGAAGGAAGGGAAAGAAGGAAAGAAGGAAGGAAAGAAGGAAGGCAGGAAGGGAGGGAGGGAAAGAAAGGAAAGAAGGAAAATGAAGAAAGAAAGAGAAAAAAGAAAGGAAAGAGGGAGGCAGGGAGGGAAAGAAAGGAAAGAAGGAAAAAGAAAGAAGATAGAGAAAGAAGGAAAGAAAGAAGAAAAGAAAGACAAAGAAGGGAGGGAGGGAAAGAAAGGAAGGAAGGAAGGAAAAAGAAAGAAGGAAAGAAGAAAGAAAGAAAGAAAGAAAGAAAGAAAGAAAGAAAGAAAGAAAGAAAGAAAGAAAGAAAGAAAGAAAGAAAGAAAGAAAAGAAGGGAGGGAGGGACTGAGGGAGGGAGGGAAGGAAGGAAGGAAGGAAGGAAGGAAAAGAAAGATTGATTCTTGGGCCCAGACCTGCAGAATGTGCAGGGTAGGTGGGAAGATGAGAAGAGAGCATGCAGGCTGGGAGAACAGAGTAAACTGAGATTCCGGCAGGGATGAGCATGGGAGAGGGTAAAGAAACACCCAGGTGGCCCAGGAGGGCTCAAGAGTACCCACCTCCCAGGGCCAGCTGCCCTCTGGTTGTTGGATGCAGCAGCCCTCTGAAGATGGGGCACAGATATAAACACTTCCACCCTTGGAACCGCTCCCAAACCCAGGACCGTATGTCCCCATTTGCCCCCATTTGCCCAAATGGTCCCAGTTTACTCCTGATGTTCCAGCATCCCTTCAGGTTAGTGTCCCTTTTCAAAAGCATACTGGTAGAGATGATAAATTATACGGCCACCTTACTCAAAGCCTACCTTATGTAGCCTGACATTGTAGATTACTCTGCCTCCCTGCCAACCAACTCCAAATCCCATTTTCCCCTCTTTGGTAGAAGGGCACTTAGAGACTGAGTTACACATACTGACTTAATGTCCTACTCCGTTATTGGTAGCATAAGCTGTGTCTAGTGTCTTTCTGATGAAAAAATCCCTAATTAAAAAAATTTTGACCTGGCTTAATGAGTGGCTTTAACGACCAAATCCAATGGGCTGCATATGTGACATGATAAAGCAGGCACATACAGTGTTAAACAGAGTCCAGAAATTGCATATTCCAAATCTCTAAGTGGCTTGTATTCCACTAGAAACCAACTAAAAATGAGAGGAAAATGTGGTATTTCAAAGAAATGCAAATACTACCTAGCTGGGCACTCAGAAGACTGTTAGGTACAAACAAATGCTCTTAAGTAATTAAAGTCTACAGTGTTAGACAAGTGCCTCAATAAACACACCTTCTACCACCTTTTACATGGAAATGCAAATGCTTATTTACATTTACTGTCAGATTTAAGGATGAACAGATGTCTTGAGGCCCTTCTGAGAATGAAAATGGCTTATATAAATCCTTCAAATCAAAACATTTTAGGCCATCACAAACTTCCTATTTAATTCTATTGCCAATTCAAAATATCGATGTGGTTTTATTTCAGGTTTATGTAAAGCGGAGACTGAAGGCCACTGGTCCTACCTGATGCATTTTCAATACTCAGGTTGCTTTTACTGCTGTAGCAACTTTGCAGGAACTATATTAAAGGGTTTTCTGCAGAACCAAGGTTTACCGAATGGAAAGGATTCGTTTAATGAGGTATTTGGAAGTTAAAAAATACTTACAGAAAATTTGGTATGATATCAGAATTACTTCATCACATTTGAATTATGTTTAAATGGGAAGCTGAAGCTATAGCATATGTGGCAATGTTTACTTGAAGGTTTCTTTTCATTTATTTAAACTTTGCAACTAGTTTAAATACTAGACCATATTTGCAAACTAACCTTTTTGCCGTTAGAGCTGTTTGGTAGATTTGGTGAGGTGAGCTTTGAGTTCCTACTATGTGCAAGACCCTGTGATAGCTACTAAATGAGGATGAAATACCATTTTATTTTTTTATTTTTATTTGTATTACTTTTTTGAGACAGGGTCTCGCTCTGTCACTCAGGCTAGAGTGCATCACGTCATCACGGCTTACTGCAGCCTTGACATCCCAAGCCTCAAGAGATTCTCCTACCTCAGCCTCCCGAGTAGCTGGGACCACAGGTGTGCATCACCATGTCCAGTTAATTTTTACAACGTTTGTAGAGATGAGGTCTCACCATCTTTCCCAGGCTGGTCTCAGACTCTGGGGCTCAAGCCAGCCTCCTATCTCAGCCTCCTGAATAGCTGGGATCACATGTGTGTGTCACCATGCCCAGCTATTTTTTTTTTTATTTTTTTTATAGATATGAGGTGTTACTACGTTGCCCAGGATAAGATGCCTTTTTTTTTTTTTTTTTTTTTTTTTTTTTGAGAGTCTCCTCTCACTCTGTCACCCAGGCTAAAGTGCAGTGGCACAATCTCGGCTCGCTGCAACCTCTGCTTCCTGAGTTCAAGTGATTCTTGTGCCTTAGCCTCCTGAGTAGCTGGGACTACAGGCACATGCCACCATGCCTAGATAATTTTTTGTATTTTTAGTAGAGACAGAGTTTCGTCATGTTGGCCAGACAGGTCTCCAACTCCTAGCCTCAAGTGATCTACCCACCTTAATGCCATTTTAAAAGGACTCACAGAAGTGGCCATTGAGATAGTCCTTAAAAGATCACAGGGTTTTAACAGGAAGAAAAATGCAGTGGGGGTGAGAAGAGTGAAAAGAATTTCAGGCATAAAGAACAGTTGAAGTAATGGTTCATGGGAAGACAGTGTGAGAGGTGCAGAAACAAGGTGAGCATTTGTTGGGTTGGATGATGAGGAAGATTAGGTTACAGGAGATACTGGAGTTGATTCATGGTGTAGAGCAAGTTTGCATCTTGTTTTGAAAGTCTCTGGGCAAGTCAGTGACATGATTAAATCTCTGCTTGTAGATCTGAACTGGAATTGGGAAAAGTTAGAGGCAAACACAGGAGGATTTTGCAATTGTTCAAATAAAGTAGTAATACGGAGGCTGGGTGAGGTGGTTGCCTGTAATTCCAGTGCTTTGAGAGGCCAAGGCAAGAGGATCACTAGAGGCCAGGAGTTCAAGACCAGCCTGGGCGACAGTGTGAGATCCTACACAGTGTGAGTTTCTACACACACACAAAAGAAAGAAAAGAAGTTTTTTTGAGATGGGGTCTCATGCTGTTGCCCAGGCTGGAGTGCAGTGGTATGATCATGCACAGCTCACTGCAGCCTCAACCTCCCAGGCTGAAGCAGTCCTCCCACCTCAGCCCCCCAAGTAGCTGGCACCACAGGCATGCACCACCACACCCAGCCAGTTTTTTGTTTTTTTTTTTTATTTTGTAGAGACATGGTCTCCCTAGGTTGCCCAGGCCGTCTTGAACTCTTGAGCTCAGGCAATCCTCCCACCTTGGCCTCCTAAAGTGCTGGGATTACAGGGGTAAGCCACCATGCCCGGCCAGAATTGTTTTTTAGTTACCCAGGTGTGGTGGAGTGTACCTGTAGTTCTAGCTACTTGGGAGGCTGAGGGAGGAGTATTGCTTGAGCCCAGGAGTTCGAGATTACGGTGAGCTATCATGGTGCCACTGCACTCCAGCCTGGGTGACAGAATGAGACCCTGTCTCTAAAGTAAATAAATAAATAATGTGGTTGCAAGCTAGGATAGCAGTAGGGGGAAGGGAGAGAAGGGATGGATTTTTAAAAATCATTCAAATCCCTAAGACTTGGCAGCTCTTTGTATGTGAAGAGCTGCAGGGAGGGGGCTGTCCAATAACTCCAAGGCTTTGAGCCTGGACAGTGGGGAGATGCTGGAACCATCAGGATAAACCCAGGCCATAGATGCAGGTTCAGGGTGGCCTGAAATGTGCTTGGTCAGTCCTGGACATCCTGAGCCTAAGGTACAGGGGGATAACCATGGGGAGAAGTGTGAACACGTCTGTGTAACCCACAAAATGTTCACGATGTTAGGTAACCATTTGTCAAATGAACACAGGAAGAAGTGAGGAAGGAAGGGAAAGAGAAGGAAAAGGGAGGCGCTTCCCAGTGGGCAGTTGGATATGCAGACCTGTGCCTCAGGAGAGAAGCGTGTGTGGGGGCCACAAAGAGGGGGTGAGTGGGTGAGTGAATGACAGAGCAGAGGCTGAAGGAGGAGGTGTCAGGCACAGACACATCAGGGGCCAAGAGGAAGACAAAAAGTCAGAACAGAAACAGAGATACAGAACCAAGAACCAAGGAGTGGCAGAATTCTGAAATCTAAGAAGGCAGCCATCTCCAAATAAAAAGGGTCAGAGGTCAAAACACAGAAAAAGTCACTAGAGTTGGCACCTTGGAGTTCATTACTGAGCACTAATGATGGGCTGTGTTTGATGCTCAGAGCTTTACCTGCCTTTCACTTCACATCCACGCTGTGAGGCAGGCACTGCTGTTAAACTATGCTAGGAGGCTTAGATCTGTTCACTGACTTCCCCAAAGTCACGCTTCCAGGAAGCGGAGGGCAGAAATCCTAAGCCAGTTAGGTGTCACCCCAAAACCTATAACCCTCACACACTTGGCTGTGTGCTTCAATACGGTGCTGGGGGTAGAAGCCAGATCTCAGGGGCTAGAAAAGCGAACGGGATGGAAACTCATGTTTAATCTATGTTTGCTGTGGGCCCAGAACCGAGCTCAGTGCTATATGTGAATGTAAACAACAGATAGTGAAAATGGGGAGTGGGGGGGTCACAGCTGGGGGAAGCAGAATGGTGGCTTTTTCAAGAAGGGGCAGGACGGACCCTATCATTCTGGGTCCTCTGCTAGATCATGGAAATCATTTCATCATACAGAAACCTGCATTAAAATGATCCTCTTTAAACTAGGATTTTACCACTATAACAGAATGCAGTAACTTCCTATCCCCTTTCTTAATACAGATGAACAGAGCTACTTCCTGTTTTTGATATATGGGTATTAAGTATTCAGGCATTAGAATGAATGGTACATACTTTTTTGAGTTTCTTGCTTTTTTCTGTTGAGAGTATGATATTTCTTTGCAAAATGATATTAAGCTCTGCATCATGGGAAACAAAAGGAAAATAGGCCATGAGAACATTTGAGCTAGCAAACAGAATAAATGTCAATCATCAGGGTGAATTCTCTCAATCAGAGGACATTTTTGCAAGGGGACGAAAATTCACGTGGCCCTTTTGATGGAAAAGAACATTTCTTCTGAGCTGCAGCAGCCTTCGTGAAACAGACTTAGGCCTTCCTCTGGGAATAAGGCCTGTCATATTTGCATGCCTCCGAGAGAAATACACAAGCTGGCTGCTCATCTGGGTGGCTGTTTGCAGTCTAGTCATTGTCCCTTTGAACCAGCTGTAAGCCCCAGGCATTCGTGAATGCCAAGATAGGAAGGGAGGATTTTCTCCTTCTGGATCCAAAAAGGCACCCAGGGAAGGCAAGGCCAGACCTGTGCTAAAAGCCTTTAAAATCGGGGGAACTGCTAGGGACAGAAAACGATGTTGTTAATTAGCCTGCAAAGAAGCATTTTGATAAACCTGAAGGAATGGTGGAGTTACACATCCATTTTAAACGAGTTCTCCGAGTCGAAAATATTTGGAAAGTTTGGGCTGGGCGCAGTGGCTCACGCCTATAATCCCAGCACTTTGGGAGGCCAAGGCGGGCAGATCACGAGGTCAGGAGATCGAGACTATCCTGGCTAACACTGTGAAAACCGGTCTATACTAAAAACACAAAAAATTAGCCGGGCGTGGTGGGCGCCTGTAGTCCCAGGTACTCAGGAGGCTGAGGCAGGAGAATGGTATGAACCCTGGAGGTGGAGCTTGCAGTGAGCCAAGATCATGCCACTGCACTCCAGCCTGGAAGACAGACTCTGTCTCAAAAAAAAAAAAAAAAAATTGGAAAGTTTGAAAGCAGTTAGATAATTAAAGTTATGTCTGCCCACCGACAAGACAGTCAATGAGTGAAAATGAGAAAAATCAAACCCACTGATTGTTTGGATGACCTCATGCTCAGCCTCAGGTCTAGGGCTCCCTGCATCTCCACCACCACTACAAGCCCATTCCAGGACTAGGTGTTTCCATGAAAGGAGAAGTCTGAGTCCATAGGATGCCCCACTCCAGTTCATTACAACTCCTCCACTCTAATGGTACCAGTGGCTATGAGACTTTTCCAACGAACAAATTCAAATATCTGGTTCAAACCTAACTTGGCGAACTAGGTTTGCTACGTGTGGCAACCACAGAATTGCATTACAAAGGTAGGACTGAATCAGCACTTCCACCTCGACCTGATGGCCCGTAGTTGGCTTAGATCAGTGAGGTACAATCTAAAGCAGTGGCAAACCTTACAAACGGAAGGACCAATTTTCTCCTAGCCCTAGCATCAACGCAATTCTGTGGAGGACTACATGCTGGGACCTAGGATAGCGGGGACTGAGACCACAACAGCTTGGTTTTATAGCTTTAACCTGAAGTCTTGGGCAGTCGTGAGCAGTTTTGAGATCTTAAACCTGGCACTGCTTTTCACGAGAGTGCTGGTTTGGTTTCTTGAGCCCCTCCCCAGGGCAGGAAACAGAAGCAGGCTTAGATCTGGGACAGGACTCTGAACACAATCTACAACCAGGACAGGCCTCGGGTAGCCACTTTCCCTGAGGTATCCCCATGCTAACTGCCTGCTCAAGGGCCAGTGAAGTTTATCCCTAAACCTTGCCATCCTTTTCAAGTGAGGCCAGCAGTGTTAACCCCTGGGGAAAGCTTTCAGTATCTGTGCCACCTCCAATGTCGGGATAAGGGGATTTTTCAGAGGGCCCCAGGCACTTGCATGGTTTATCCAGTTTTTAATTTGAACTGTATGATACTGTCCTTTTTTTGTAGATCAGACACGATTAAAAAAAAATGTAATGTGTTCATCCTCACAATAGAAATTATGAGAAAAATGTAGGGTATGGAGTGGAAAGAGCAACATTTGGAGAGCCAGACTGGGTACAAATCTCAGTTCTCTCACTTTCTTTCATCCAACAAACATACACTGAGTTCCGGTATGTGTCTGGAACTGTTCCAGGAGCTGGACACAGAATGGTGATGAAGACAGATTGGTCCTGCTCTGCATGGCCCATGCTAATGCATGCTTATCTTCTGGGGCTGCTTCTGAGCTCAGTAATGCTGGGCCAGTCACTTGGCCTCTCTGAGCTTCTGCCAAGTGCTGTGAGAGTTAAATGGGATGATAGGCATTTGGCCCAGGTTGCACTGGTGGCCTTCAATAAATGGTAGTTCCTGTTATTTTACTGTGGCTCATAGAGAACTCCTGATAAATATTTGTTGAATGGAAATGCCTTGGAATGTACTGTGGGAATCTCCAAGCCCTTCCCCTAAGATCCCTGAAGCTAGAAACCACTGCAGGAGAATGATGTACCCGGAGCAGAGGCCACTGTCAGCAAAGCCCAGAGATCCTGGAGACCCCTGTTCCCTACACATTCTGTGACCTGAAAGAGACCAGCTGCTGTCAGTTGTCATATAAATCAGGAGGGCAGTCAGCATAGGAGGGGTTTCAGGGAGTTATAATCTGGTTCATCTGTTTTTTTTTTTTTTTTTTTTTTTTGACGGAGTCTTGCTGTGTCCACTGGGTTGGAGTACAGTGGTATGATCTTGGCTCACTGCAACCTCCGCCTCCCTGGTTCAAGTGATTCTCCTGCCTCAGCCTCCCAGGTAGCTGGGATTAAAGGTGTGTGCCACCACGACCAGCTAATTTTTGTATTTTTAGTAGAGATGAGGTTTCACTATGTTGGCCAGGCTGGTCTCAAACTCCTGACCTCAGGTGCTCCACCTGCCTTGGCTTCCCAAAGTGCTAGGATTACATGTAGGTGGGAGCCATCACTGTGGTTCATCCTTCTTAATAGGCATAAAATCATTTAATCCCCCCAAAATAATGGTCAGATTTATCAACTGAAGGAAAGCAGAGGTTCAGACCTCAAAGGAGGCCCAAAATTTACCTGTAGGAATTTCTGATTTTAAGGTATCACCACACATTTGGCTCTAGTTAGTAAAAGGACATGCACGTTGAGCAGTCATTCCCCCAACTTGCCACCCAGTCAAGTCACTGGCGTGAATACAGATGTGAAGTTACAGATTCCTTTTACAGCCCAGGGGCCTATTTTCCAGGCTCTCTGTGCAAAGAGGCCGTGTGGCTATTTCACGGGTCAGGCTGCACACCGTTTAAACCTGCATAAATCATGCCGGACAAGGTATTAACAAGTGCAAAGTTGCTATCTAGCAGTACAGCTTATGATAGTACCTTCGCTGTCATCACTGTCCTGAGCTCCGTCCAGCTCTCTGGGTCCATTCATCACAGGTGGTGCACAGGGAGGTGAGACCAACAATTGTACTAACTTTTTTTCATACAACTTTCTGGTGGAAGCTGAGGAAGAATTTGGAGAACAAATTAAATTGTTGTTTTTTTTTATATGAGCCTACTGGGTTCAAGGTATTTCATAATTCAGATTTTTATTCTTATCCCTTACATTATTGGTTAATTATGGCTTTTTTGTTTTTTGAGACAAGGTCTCACTCTGCCTCCCAAGCTGGAGTGCAGTAGCATGATCTCAGCTCACTGAAGCCTCTGCCTCCCAGATTCAAGCGATTCTCCTGCCTCAGCCCCTCAGCAGCTGGGACCACAGGTGTGCGCCACTACACTCGGCTAATTTTTGTATTTTTAGTAGAGACGGGTTTTGCTATGTTGGCCAGGCTGATCTTGAACTCCTGACCTCAAGTGATCCACCTGCCTCGGCCTCCCAGTGCTGAGATTGTAGGTATGAGCCACTGCGCCCTGCCCAATTATGGCTTTTTAAACGAGGTAGACTCGCAGCTGTTCAACTCCTTCCTTCGTTTCCACAAACACTTAGGTGATACCTGTATGGATTAACCACAGAGTCAGGCATTGGACACATCTGAGAAGACAGACAAGGCTGTGCATCCTATCTATGGGGAATATAGATAATAAATAAATAGTTAACAAGGTCTACATACTAAAAACAAAACAAAAAAATTGAACCACATAATAAAGAGTAACTGGTTTTTCACTGATGAAAAACACCCAATCCATGGGCTGGGTGTGGTGGCTCACACCTGTAATTCCAGCACTTTGGGAGGCCAAGGCAGGTGGATTACTTGAGGTCAGAAGTTCGAGACAAGCCTGACCAACATGGTGAAATCCTGTCTCTGCAAAATACAAAATCATTAGCTTAATGTGGTGGTGTATGCCTGTAATCCCAGCTGCTTGGGAGGCTAAGGCAGGAGAATCCCTTGAATCTGGGAGGCAGAGGTTGCAGTAAGACAAACACCCAATCCTAATCTGTAAATAGGATTTGGGTATATTTATTGCCTCTTCCCTCTTTGTGGTTTTCTGTTTTCTCTATGTTCCTATTTCTGTTTTAATGGTTTTATTGCATATGTTCCTTCTATTGTAAGTTGTTTATAAACCATAAATGACAAGTCTCTAATATTTGCTGCATACTGTACATACGTAGTATTGGGCCAGGTGAAAATCCAAGCTTCTCAAGTTGGTTCTGCAATTTACAGTCACTCAGACACTTCACATCCACCATGGTGATAGAAGTTTGGCCTCTTTTCTGATGGTAGAATCCTTGAAATAGCAAAACATTAAATGTATTAAGACAACCTTACAAATAAGTACTAAAATGTTACCAATCCACGTAAGTGTTTATAACCCTATCTCCCCAACCTCCTAGGTGCACAGGCAATAAAGCAAAAATCAGCACTTTCTACTTCTGCCATAAATCCCTGCTGGGATTAGTTGCCTCCATTGTAAAACTGGATGGGTGTCATTTTCCCCAGTGTCTTTAGGGCTCAATTATTTATAACTGTTCTGTTCAATGAATATGAGAAAAATCTTCTGGACAAAATAAACAGATACTTCCATTACTGCTCAGGAACTCTGAGTAAAACTCAAGCTCCGAGAAGATAAGAACTTAATTAAATATGAAAGAGCTGAGAGTTTTTTGTTTTTTTTTTTTGAGTTAAATAAAAGTTATTTATCCCTGCCCTCCTTTTGATGACAGGACAGAGAGTACAGAGCATTCAGTTATTGCAAACAGTAGCAGCTTTCACACTTGTAATTTAACTCTGAACATAACAAGATGGTAGTTTTTAATTAACCGCCAGCAGACTTAGTAATTGCTGAATTGGCATTTGAAAAAAAGTCAGCTATTCACTCTCTGGCACACAAATTGATTCATATAGATTTATGCAAATCTTGATATGGCTTTCCAAATCTGCACAACCTCAAGTTCAATCAGTTTTATCCAGTTGATCCCTTGATCTCCCAGAGTTGACCCTTCTACCTACGTGACAAAATCCACAAAAAGACAGACCCATTTGTCAAACCTTTTAACAGAGATTTTAAAATTTTGGAGTTTATTATACCACATTTCTATCATGTTTCAAGGCTTAATACTGCAGTGAAAACAACAGCAAGATAATTATTCAGCGTAGGAGGATCTAGACCAATTTTAAATAATGACTTTGCTTTTGTTGGTGATCAGTCAATGTCCAATTAGGAAGAACACTGTATACAAGCTAGAAAAAGTCATGAATTGTTATATATAATAGGGTTGTTCTGGAATACCTAGTTTGACAGTTCTCTACTTTAAAGCAATGCTTTAAAGAGCGTCACATTCTAGCACACATAGTAGGTACCTAGTAAATGTTAGTTTCCTCCTTTTCTGTGTGTTTGGGAAACTGACTTAACACTTTTAGGCCAGTGGGAAACAAACTAATGCTAGGAAGAAAAAGGACAATACACCTCAGCATCTCAGATTTTTTTTTTCTTTCCTTTTTACTGGAAGCTAGCTTCGGCAGATCCTGTGACATTTGTTCCTGAGAACAGCTGTCTGTTGTTTCACCAGCTTCCCAAAAATAACCTCCAATAGAGCCCTCATCAATTTCAAGTGACACTAGACAATTGCCTAGAGGGAACACACATATGGAAGAAAAATATTCAAATGGAATCCAACTGGATGATTAATTCACTTACCCCTTCACATGGTTATCTAAAGTCTATGCAATCGAGTTGGTTACTAAAGCTGGGTGAGTTTCACCCTGAGGTTTCCACTAGCAACCAGTCCCTTTTTGCCTGTTAGATATTATGGTAATCATAATACTGACAGTGTGACATCAGTAACCCCCATAGCAACAGATTGATGTGCAAATCAGATGATTAATTGAACCTAAGTTCAAACAGAAGGAGGTACTGGTCGACTTCATAGGCACACTGCCATGATAAAATGTCAAGAGATGCAGAGAAGTTATCATTATGCACAGTAAGTAAGGAGCTGCTACTAAACCAAATGGTGTCAAGAAACCAGGAAGAGAAAGGAGAAATCAAACAAACTCAAGTGTCTAGACCACCCATTAAAAGGCCCATATTAGTAGTTGGGCAATTTGACCATATACTCCAGGGAAAATAGGAAAGTGGAAGAAACCTATATTAATTTGTTAAGGATTATTCATTTAAGAAAACAAGAAATCAAGATGGAGGGCAGATAAATAATAATACATTGCAGAAGTTTGATGGATTTGCCCTTTTCAAAGCATTTTCATATCTCATTTCATCCTCTGGACACTTTTATAAGACAGCTGAGACAGATATTATCATCTACATTGCAAAAACCTACTTGGTGTTGCCTTATTTTGTTTAAGGAAAGATCTGTGAGACTATTAGCCTGCATCTTTCAAGAAAGACTGCTTAGATTTTAAAGACGTGTGCAAGACAAAATGTAACTGTGAGAAAAAGCAATGCCTTCATTAAATTGCAGGGACAGAGGGAATGATCCGAAAGGGGTGAAGAGGACAGGGGAGCCAGGCTGCTTAGAGTCAAATCCCAGTTCTGTCATTTTCCAACTGGGTGACATCACATCAGGTAAGTTACTAATTTCACTGTGTCTCCTCTTCTTTGTCCATAACGGGGGATAATAAAAATGGTACCTGTTTCAAAGGGCTATGTTATTCAATGAGTTATAATACATATAAAGTACTTGGCACATAGAAAGCATTATATAAATGTTTTCCATTATTCTACTCATGAGCCCTAGCCCCAGAAAGTTCCCACATCCAGTATCTTCCTCAGGAGGCTTCATCTCATTTACACTTGCCCATGGGAGTCTATAGTTGCAGTCCTTTCCAGATTCTGGGAAAGAGCTGAACGTCTTTGGGTGGATGGTTATGAAAGCTATTGAGTCTCCCAGGCTGTGGCTCCGAGGGCTATGGCTCCACAGTTTCTGAATAGAGCATCAGTTTTCAAACAAACATGTAATGCAAACATTTACCAACATCCAAACATTGCATTCACCAAACAAAGACTTTGAAAATTGACACATTTGTTTCCATCAAAGCAAATAAATGATAGGCTTGGGTTATTAGGATGCACAAGCATTTTGTTTACATTTCCCAGAATTGCTTTCAACAAAAAAGCAGCCAGCAGGTGGAACTGCTTCCATTTAAACAGTTTGACTATTGGGATGAAACAGACATTTCTAGAATATTTTCTTGGTTAAATCTCTGGGGTTTAAAACAAGCTAGGTTGAAAAGGATTAAATCAGATGATTTCAATCAACATCTATGGGTTGAACCCTATATCATGTGCAAACTATTCTGCTTGAAATTATTCTCTTGAAAACCCACCAGCATAGTTATGATTCTATTGTCAGCATTATTCCATTTATGAATTCCTGTACTCTGTGCTATCCTGAAATATTTGGTTTAATTGTTTGCAGCACACCATCTCCCTCAGTTTTATCTGTGCAGTCCTGAGCATTAGCTTGTTTTTTGTTTTTCACTCTCCCCATGGCTGCAAAGATATTTTATTCCATTTCTTGAGGGAAGCAAGTTTTAATTGCCAATTGACTACGTATTCAACATGATAAGGTATCTAAACCCTGAGAGCTTCCTCTTTTCATTAAAATGTAGATCCAATTTCTCTTCCCTTAATGCCACATGCTGTTATTAAACTGAAATAACGGAAATAGTAAAAGCCAGATGTCACTTCAGTCTCAGGTTTGACGTGGGGCACAATTTCCTCTCCTCAAATTTAATCTTCGAGTTATTTACTAACCCCATTCTTTGGAAGAATGCACAATTTAAATGTAAATGCAATTTACATAGGGGAGAAGATAGTAGATTTGCAGTTTCAATTGCCAATAACCATTTGCAAAAGGAGAAATCAACTAAAGCAAAGATCAGCAGCTGTCAGTCTAAAGCCCGCATCACTCACCATTCTCAGATAACTTTCCTCCTGAAGCCACCTGCCTCTGAGCCTCCACTATGCAGGCAAAAGGAAGTGGAAAGCGGAGGCATTTCCCCAGACATTTCAGGCCGAATTTACTACTGACTGGAGGGAAAAGGGAGAAGTTTGGGTTTCACTGAGCTGATCTGGTTGGCATCATTGTTGAAATCATTAGCTGATCAATTTCTTTCAAAAATTATTTATTGATCATCTCCTGTGGGATAGGGGTTATGCTTGGCCTAAATCAAGGAGAGGTAGAGGCAAATACAAAGATGCAAAAGCTATAGCCCCTCTTTCAAGGAGCTCACAGTCTCCTTAAAGAGAAAAGGAAACAAATAGCTACAAAAAATAAGATAAAGTGTTAAAGGAATGCTGCAGGAGCCCAGAATCTGAACCGTAAGGGTCCAAAGGTACGCTGAAGCTGAGACTTCCAGGACGAGCAACAGTTTTCCCTATAAACAAGGGGCTGGGGACAGACATTCTAGGATGTGGTAAGCGAGATGAGAAATGAGTCAGGTTGAATAGGTGGATCCTTCCAATTTGTGAAGGATCTGGTGTGCCATGCTAAGGGCTCTGCCTTCACCTCTGGGCACACGTAGAGGTTTATAAGTAGCTCATGGTATAATTACACCTAGTTTGATATTGAGTGGAGGATGAATTGGTAAGGAACAGTCTGGAGGCTACAGGACTCCTTGGAGGTTATTACAACAGTCTAGAAAAGAGATGATTCCATTTGGGGGAGGACTAGAGAGGAAGATACACGATTCATGAATGATTTAGAAGGCAGAATAGCCACAACAGGATGGCTGATTATGTGTTTCCTCTTCACTTCACTTGCATAGGCACCATCTCAGTACAAATCTTTTGTCTCAGGCATGAGTCTGCTTACATAAGGAACCATATGGAGTTTGGTCTACACAGCACTGACACTTTAAAAATTATTCTGCACTTGTCTAGTCAACCCTTGATTATCCACACTACTTGAAGGCAGCAGCAATGCAGATAATCCGTAACTCTCTTCTGTTTGGCTTCGGAATTAATTACACCTTTTAGAGCAAATTTGCTTTCCTAATTAATCTTTCCTAGGCTAATATTAAAATTAACTAATATTCTCTGAGCCCACGCCAGCTGGGCAGGGGAAGCGGGGAGGTGGGGAGGGGGAGGACGGGGAAGTGGCTCAGGCTTAAGCTGAGCAGCAGGAGGATGCCAACGCCACATTAAAATTCACCATGGATCATCCGCAGAGCTCGTGAGCCGGGTCTAGCTCGTTGAGAGGTGGCTGTATAATTAAAGACTCAAACCCCTTGGGAGTTCAGTTACTGAGCACCTACTACATACCAGGCACCCTGCAAGGCTGCAGATGAGGAAAAGAGTAAAGCCCAGTAGACTCCACTCTCAAGGAGATGCTGGTGTAATGGGGTAAATTAAAGGGTAAACAGAACCTTTACTCAAATGCACTGAAGGTTCTGGCAGAAGCATCTTCCCTTCAAAAGCATGAGGCATGAACAAGGTTGATGGAGGAAAAAAAACCAACAAGTGTGTATAACAAAGGGGAAAATGCTGCCTAATTGCCATTCTATAAACATAATAGCAAAAATGCTTTTAATAAAATGAGTGCATATAATTTCTCCTTTCAATAATCCAGATTAATAAATTATTTTAATCTGGAGCAAGACGTGATTTTTCCTAGCAATTTTTGGAACTATGATACTCCAGTCCCAAGGTCTCCTCCGCAGTGCCTGGAGCTGCCATGGAGGGGTGGGGGACACAGAGCAGCTCCACTCCAGGGGAGCCAGAACGACTCCACCCTCATCTGCTTTACACACTGGACTCCCATGAAGAGTACACTTAAAGGAACACTTCCCCTGCTATACAAAGTTAGGAAGGTATCCATCTGCCCTATTTTCTGAGCTGCTGCTTAAAACCTAAATGGTCCTAGCCTCCTGTCCTGTCATGAAAGCAAATCAGACCTTTGATGCCGGTAAATCAAGAGCTTGGGGGCCCCTTTCCTGGAATCCTGTGAGTCCTGCATACAGAGATTTATGATACATAAACCACATGCAAGAAATTTTGGACAACCCACAGGGATAGATAAACATATAAGATGCAGTTCTTCAAATGGATTACATTCTAGATGGAGAAACCAACCAGAAACACACATGGGCAAAGGTAAGAAGTGAAAATTCATAATCAAATACCAATACAGTGGTGGCCATAAATGCCGAAGAAGGTCAGAAACAGAGAAAAATCTCCCCTGGTTGGGGGTGGTGTTGTTCAGGGAAAGCTTCCTGGAGGAGGTAGAACTCAGAGTGGGACCTAAAGAACAGGTAAGGTCTGGATTGGCAGGAAGCAGAAGGATGGGCATTGTAGGCAAAGGCATATCATGAACAAGGCTTGGGGGTAGAAGTGGGGATGAGACCAGGCTGGCTTCAGCAAAGGGTGCGTTTTAGCTAAGTGGATGGGTATGGTGGAACTAGCTTGCAGACAGCTCCAGGATTTCCCTGAGGGTGTTTAGGCCCACAGATCCCTTCAGGTTCCAGGATCCTTCAGGTCTGGGGCCCTCTGCAGCTGACGATGGGTTGCCACCCTGGAGGCCTCTGAAGGAGGGTGTTCAGGGCTGTCAAGAAGAATAATCTAGCAAGGCAGGGCAGGATGGGAGAAAGAAGGCAGGGAGGGAGACCAAGTGGGTCCCTCACCCCAGTCTCTGTGAATAATGAACAGTAGTGGAGGAGATGCTGGGAGGCTTTCGATTACCGGAGTCACTAACCAGGAGCTCAGGAAGCCCCAGGGGACCTTGAGAGGCAATTTCAGAGTGGTTAGGAGAAAAGGCTCCAGGGTCATACTGCCTCTGGTTGTATTCTGGATTTTTGTATCACTGCCTCTATTTGTGTCACTTACTAGCTGGACCCTGGCTTTCACATCTGTGAAATGTAAATGTAGTCATAGCACTACATTCCTTCCAGAATTTTTAAGGACTGAGTTAACACATCTTAGGAGCTAAAAACACTGTTTTCTATAAGTGCTCACAGTAAGTGCTCACAAGTGTGAACTGTGAGTAAGGTTCCAGTATGACAAAATGGCTCTGGGGTCCTGCACTGGGATTCTTGCTAACAAGGGGACATCACTCATGATTGGGGCATCTTCCCATCTCATTTGATACCATAGCTCACCCCTTTACCTGGAAACTCGGGGAAACTGAGTATTATGAGAAGCAGCTTCTCATAATAAAGGCTAGTCGGGATCTGCTTTTTCTCAAAAGAACATTTGAGAGAGAGAGACAGAGAGAGAGAGAGAGACAGAGTGCACACTCAAGGGAACGGGTTTCCACTGCAGTACACATGGTAAGGAGCAATGTCATGAAATAGGAGACCACACCAACCAAGACGGCAAGGACATTGTGGGACATCCATTCCTGTCCTTAAAATCCAGGAGCGTATAATTCCCATGGCTTAAAGGAGACTCTGTACCAGCAGGGATCTGAAGACAGTCACAGAAAGATAATAAAAGTGGAAGCAAAAGAAGACAGAAAAAGTAGCAGCATAAAATGGAGAAGGAATGAGGCTGAGATGGAAACCCTCATGGCCGATACATAGACTGTACCTACAGGAGGATCTCCAAATTGACAAGGCCTTCTAGCAGCCATACAGTTGTCTAGTCAATTCCATACTCATGAAATGGAAACAAACAACTGTCCCAGAGCATTGTAACAGTTCCTGGTACCAACGAGAAATGTGGATGTTTCCTGAGGATCCCGAGTGTGGAAGGCAATTGGGTGACTGGCAATGGGTTAGGCTGGAAGACTGGTAGAGGGCCAGACAGCCAAGGGCCTAGGAAGCAGGATAAGGAGCTCTTAGGCTTTATCTTAAGGACAGTGGGAGCCACTGAAGGTTTTATGGTGGTTTTTTGTTTCCATAATTTTAAAACATTTACAACGATCATAAGTCAATTACAAGCAAGTAAAGTGAAAGCATAATGAAACCCGCATATATTCCTCACCCTGCTTCAACTGTTGTCAACATTTTGCCAATCCTGTTACCAAAAGCTTGCAGCTGGGGAGTGATGCCATGACAGTTATCTTTGAGAAAGAGCCCTCGAGGTGCTATGGAGGGGATGAGAGGAAGGGTGCAGGACTGGGTACAGGAGTATCGTTAGGTTGCAGCAAACCATTCCTTCATTCATTCAACAAATATTTCCTGAACCCTACCACATGCCTTGCACTATTCTTAGTGCTGTGAATACAAGGTTAAATAAAGCAAATGAGGTTCCTGCCCTCCTGGAGCTTATGTCCTAGGAGGGAAAAGCAGACAAACAAGCAAATGGAGTGAACAAGAACCTTTCAGAATGTGATAACGAGACAGACTGATGTGACAGGGAAGGGCTTGGGATGAAAGCACTTTGATTTAGACTAGATAGTCAGGGAGGACCATGTGTGTGTTCCTGGAATGGCAAGAAAGTCAGGGAGGCTGGCATAGCATGAGAGAGAGGGTGGTAGACTGGAGAGCAAGGTGAGAAAAGATGTTGGCTTGGACTAAGTAACTAGGTGGGGATGAAGAGAAATAGATTTGAGGGAGATTTAGGAGGGAGAGCCAACAGGATATGAGAATTTGGTGACCGATTGAGAATGGGGTGGAGAGTGGAGAGTGTCAGGAATGAGTCAGATTTCTGGCTTGAATATCTCAGTAGACAGAGGTGCCCTTCCCTGAGACAGGGAAGAGAGGTCAGGCGAAAAGTCCAGATCTCCACATGGCTCCCTCAGAGCCTTTCAAAGTGAGGGCCTGGCAACGGGAAGCCACTTCCACCACCAACCCCAGTCAAGTAACCAGCTATCCATGCAGCTTCTGGATCAGACTGTTGCCTCAGGCAATTCCAAGTGATCATCACCACCATCCCCTACCCTCCACAGGTGGCCCCACCCCACCTCCACCTCCGATGACCTAGAGAGTATGGAAGGACACTTCTGGTCCAGTTTAATTTGCTTGGGCAGCGGAGGAGATGAAGGAGATGCTGCAACTATTTTAGCACAGCCTTGTGGGGAGGGTGGGTACGTTGAACTGAACCAGAGGAATATGATATCCATGCTGGTGGTGTTTCAAAGACTGACCTTATCATGATGGTAGGGGTCCTCTGAAGCCCTGTCAATGTCTCAGGACCTTTTGTGACTTGGCTCATTTCGATGCTGCATTGTGTCAGGCAGATATGAGGGCTGAGATTTAAAAGGATCAGGATTTTGCTGGGAGGCAATATGCAGGTCTGGGCTAGAGGGAAATCTGGAATTAGAACAACCATTATACCTTCACACTGTGACTTTTGCATGGTGGACAGATTTATTAGAAGAGGCATAAAAAGTGGCCTGTGGAGATAGCTGGGGTGGGGGGAGGAAGAGACCCCCAAATGCAATCTAAACCAGAGATCACAATGGCTAGCGCAGGTCTCTGTTTCTGGAAATGACTCCTCTACTCTCCTTAGCATGCTTTTTAGCTATTATCTGTCCTTGCCGCACCTTGCCCGAGAAGGGCATTTTTCTTGGCTGTCTATTTTGATGTTGGGGGATGGGGGAAGCAGGGACAGGCATTTGGGGTCATTGTCTGGGAATGAATCCTGGACAGCAGGAGGCTGCTGCTCTCACTCCTCATCCCCATCATCTGTCACCCAGCGAGGGCAGCCGGCAGCCAGGCCGCGGACTGCCTAATGAAGACAGAGAGGTGGTTCCGGCTGTGCACAGGTGCCGCTTCCCCATTAACAGAGGTGACATTCCGAAACACTACTCATTACAGAGCAGACATTGGACAGGGCTGGGACACATATTAATGGCAACAGGGCCAGCCAGCGTCTGTCTCAAATCCCACTGCCCCTGAGAGAGCAATCGAGAGAGCGAGAAAGAACCATCCTGAGTGTCAAACCAGCAGGCTCCTCACTTTGCAGAGAAAAATGAATTCTTGCCACATAGAAGGCCAAGTCATTCTCTCTGCTGCTTGCACACCCAAGGGTCCTCAGCTTCAGGCCCGCCCAAGTGTGGACCAGCTCCCGTAGAAGCCCCCAGCTCCTTCCCTCTTAGGAAGGGCTGTGCTGCAGACGGCTGGGCGGGAGGAGCATCCTTAAATCAGACCCGGATCTGAATGGAGCCCATGAAGTCTTGTTTTAGAGATGGGCATGGGCCCCAGTTGTAACTAGGAAGTATAGAGGGAGGCTATGGAGAACTTCCAGACGGAGGGTTGTCAGGGACGGGGTGGGAGAGTGGGGTAGGGGTAGACAACCAAAGTCAGACGAGGTAAGAACAGGGCAGATCTCCCTCCTGGAATGGGATGCGTGCTTCCTATGATTCAGGAGAAAGCCGCCCATCACCGTGGAGAACCAGGAATGGCAGACCATGCGGACGCCAACAGTTTACGCAGCTCCTCAGCTAGGTGCAAAGTGGCCAAAGGAAGAGCCGGTCTTCCACATGCACACCTCCGCGCCCACGTTGCCCCAGGAGCATCCCACTCGGCCGAGGGACCCCCGAGGCAGCCGGCGAGGCGCACTGCGCACGCGCACTCAGGCCGCCGTGCCCGCCGCCCTCCCTCCGCAGCAGGGCGTCCCCGCCTCCGCACCGCTCAGTTTTAAACCCGCAGCAGACGGAACTCGACTTAAAAATAACTATTTTGACAGTTCAGATGTAAATATGTGAGTGACGCGTGGGGCTGTTTTTCCTTCACACTTCCCCTCACCCCTCGCTCCCTACCCCAGCCCAGTTCGGCTGAGGCTGAGATGATGGGAGAGCGCCGTCTGCAGGATGCTCCCCAAAATGCAGCAGGAGGAAGAGACTCGTCCTAGAGCGCCCAGCGAGCTTGGGGGTGGGGAAGAGGACCCCAGCTCACTTTCACCGCACACGTCACACGCCTTTTGGGGATAAGCAGATTTACACACTATTTATTGTCTATTACTTGAAAAAGGAGACGTTGGCCAACACACAAGTGAGCTAATTTAATCATTCCTGACCTCTCCACACCCTGTTTTCAGTTCAATTTGACCTGTCGATATTGACCGAATGTCTACTTCCTACCCAACACCGTGCTAGACGCAGGGGAACATGTGACACGTGCAACTCGCACACTTGCGATTCCTAATCTTTTCAACGAACCTTTCAGTTAACTCATATTGAACACCTGCTTTATGCCAGGCTGGGAGCTAGGTGAGCACCTGAGCACAGGCTATCTGACTTGACCCCTGCAAAAACTTGTGGCTATTATTATCTACATTTTCCATATGAAAAACAGAAGTCTAGGGAGATTGAGTGACTTCTGTAGGCTGCCACAGGTAGTAAAGACAACAAGTCTTGTGCTCTTCCCTCCATAGCCAATTGAGTGGAAGGGTGGTGGAGGCACTCTACAAGTAGGGGAAACTGAGGTCCAGACAGAAAAAGCTGCATGTCTGTCTGGTCACCAAAACACATTTTAGCTGGGGCAAAGCTGGGACAACAACACAGAAGCTTTTTTTTTTTTTTTTTTTTTTTGGACTGAGTCTCGCTCTATTGCCAGGCTGGAGTGCAGTGGTGTGATCTTGGCTCACTGTAACCTCCACCTCCCAGGTTCAAGCGATTCTCCTGCCTCAGCCTCCAGAGTAGCTGGGACTACAACTGTGCGCCATCACGCCCAGCTAATTTTTGTATTTTTGGTAGAGACGGGGTTTCACCATGTTGGTCAGGATGGTCTTGATCTCTTGACCTCGTGGTCCACCCGCCTCAGCCTCCCAAAGTGTTGGGATTATAGGTGTAAGCCACCATGCCGGGCCAACACAGAAGCTTTAGGATTGCCAGCCTGCACGTCCCTTCCCAATCTTCTGGCCCCAGGCAATGTGGTGGGGCGTGACAGACCCCATGTGATGTCTTTGAGGTTCTCACTGCCTCTTTGAAAGAAGGGTAGGGAAAAGGTAGCAGGAGAAAAGTTAGAGAAAGGAAGAGGAAGAGAAAAGGAGGGAGGAAGGCTGAAGAGTGGACAAGCAAAAGTGTGTGTAGACATGCACGGCCTGGCCAGGTAGTGCAATGAGATGGGGAAGTTCAGAGAGCCCCCAGCAACTCCTCCTTTCTGTGCTCCCGGTCTCCCACCGGGTGGGGCCTCGCCCTCCTTGGCCAGGTATGCACTGGTCTCATGCTCTTTCCTCTCATCCTAACAAAACCTGCTCCAAGAGGAAATCTGAAGTAATCACTGATGCTGTGGGACAAGTGCCTGAAAACTGACCAGTGTTTGCTTCCCTTCTGGATTACAAACCCCAAGGGATCAAAACCTGAAGTCAAAGAGAGAAAGCACTCATGAAATTTCAGATGTCAGACTTTGGAGAGGAGAGGAATTTGGGAACAATATGTCTCACCTGTGACAGAAGAGGCTTCCTATCATACCTGCCGGCAGAGTCATTGCTAACTCTGTCCATGCGTACATACAGCCATGGGCAGAAGTCTGTAGACACCGGCAAAGAAGAGAGAAGGGTCCCTGGGAAATTCCACCTCGGCCAGGCACAGTGGCTCTTGCCTGTTATCCAAGCACTTTGGAAAGCCAAGGAAGGAGGCGAGCTCCAACTTAGAAGTTCGAGACCAGCCTGGGCAACATAGTGAGACCCTGCCTCTACCAAAAATACAAATAACTAGCTGGGCATAGTAGTGCGTGCTTGTAGTCCCAGCTGCTCAGGAAGCTGAGGTGAGAAGATCGCTTGAGCCTGGGAGGTTGAGGCTGCAGTGAGCCATGATTGCACCACTGCACTCTAGCCTGGGCAACAGAGCAAGACCCTGCCTCAAAAAATAAAAAAAATTCCACCTCTTCTGTCATGCCTTCTCTGATTCTTCCCTACTCTACAGTTGTGTTCTCTCAGGCCTCTGAAGCCCTGGAGCACTTTGCTTGTACTTTAGCTGAGGCATTTTTGAGACTTGCCATATTGTTTTCTAAATTATTATTAAATTGGCTGGGCGTGGTGGCTCACACCTGTAATCTCAGCACTTTGGGAGGCACTTTGGGATCACAAGGTCAGGTGTTGGAGACCAGCCTGACCAACATGGTGAAACCCCGTCTCTACTAAAAATACAAAAATTAGCCAGGCATGGTGGCACACACCTGTAATCCCAGCCACTCAGGGGGCTGAGGCAGGAGAATGACTTGAACCCAATAGGCAGAGGTTGCAGTGAGCCGAGGTCGCACCACTGCACTCCAGCCTGGGCAACAGAGCGAGACTCTGTCTCGGGGGGGGAAAAAAAAAGAAATTGTGAGTTTCTCCAGGGTTGGAGCAATGTCTGAGTTTCCTACATTTCTCCTTCAGCCTCTCCTGCAGAGCTTTGCATAGAGCCAGGACTCAATATTGATAGAATAGATTCAGTCAACAGCAGTGCACAGCATACATTTCCCCGCGCAAGAGGGTGAAGGCTAGGGTGCAGACAGCAGAGGGACTGTGGCACGCATGTCGGCGAATTCCTGAAGATGGAAAGGCTTGGGGTCATATCTGCCCCAGACCGCTTAACAAACACTTAGTGAGCGCTTAGTGTGCTAGGCGTAATGGTGGCTGAGCCTGCAGAAGAGGCAGCCAGCCCTCTCAGGAGCAGTCAATCCACAGCTCTAAACAACAGCTGCCTATGTGATACTTGAATCTTGTCCTGCCCCAAATCACTTCTTGCCTTACAGGAGACTGGCTTTGGGGTTAGACTTGATGGCCTGATCTCTCTGCCCTCTCTCAGGGCTTCCTGCTTCAGAGATCGTTGGAGTATCTGTTCTCCCAATCCAAGTGGAGTTATGACACAATAATTCTTTTTCAAACAGCTTTACGGATATATAATCACATACATGATATAATTCTTGTTCTTAATGTTATGCCATCTTACAGCATCTTTCTCTCTTTTATAAGTCTGAAAATTCTGTTAACACAGTCTTCAGTTCTGAGAAGCCCAGCTAAGGATTCTTTCCTTCCTTCCTTCCTTCCTTCTTTCCTTTCTCTTTCTTTCTTTCTCTTTCTGTCTTTTTTTCTTTTCTTTTCTTTTGAGACAGGGTCTTGCTTTGTTGCCCAGGCTGGAATGCTGGCATGATCTTTTCCCAGGCTCAAGGGATCCTCCCACCTCAGCCTCCCAAGTAGCTGGGACTACAGGTGAATGCTACCATGCCTGGCTAATTTTATATATATATTTAGTAGAGACGAAGTCTGGCTATGTTGCCCAGGCTAGTCTTAACTCCTGAGCTCAAGTGATCCTCCTACCTCGGCCTCACAGGCATAAGCCACTGCGCCTGGCCCTTTCTCTTTCTTAAAAGCACCTTAAGAC